AATAACTACTACTACTACACACCACTACTATATATTACTTACTTATTATTATAGTATATTATATAATAATATATACTACTACTATATTATTCTCTCTCTCTCTCTCTCTCTCTCTCTCTCTCTCTCTCTCTCTCTCAAGTGCATTTAATTATTGCAAAAATTATAGATAGCCCCAAACTTATAGTTACCCTCTCTCTCTCTTTCTCTCTCTCTCTCTCTCTCAATTTGTGTTCTGGAATTCTAACTGGTCCGACACAATGGATGCCCGACCAATTTTTTTTTTGTCGTCCAAGACAAAAACGTGTCAGACTACAAAAAAATTTCAATCCTACACCAAATGTACTGGACCACATTATAGGCATTCTCTAGAACACTAGTCTGACACAACGGGTGCCCAATTGCATTATAGGCACTCTGGAAAACTGATCCGGTACAACGGGTGCCGGACCACATTATAAGCACTCTGGAACATTGGTCCAGCACAACGACTGCCAATCCAAATGGCAGGTAGAGAGAGGGTGGGTGGAGAAAGAGAGATGGCAGGTAGAGATAGAGGGCAGTTTGAGAGAAAGAGAGAGGGCGGGTAGAGGGAAAGAGAGAGAGAGAGAGAGAGGGTGGTAGAGAGAGAAAGAGGAGAGAGGGTACGTAGAGAGAGTTGTAAAGGAAAAGTGAGAGAGTGTGGGTAGAGAGAAAGGGTTGTTATAAAGACACCGAAAATCATGAGGGAAGAGTGTGTTGAGAGAGTTGTAGAGAAAAAGTGAGAGAGTGTGGGAAGAGAGAGAAAGAGAGAGAAGAGAGAGGAAAAAAGTATTTTTGTTCCAATGTTATTGATTTTTTTACTGGGGAGTTAATACAAGAAAATACAGTGTTGGGGTCTAGGGTGTGATACAAAAGGCATTCTAGGGTAGGATTGTCTAGAAAGTTGATTTTGGGGGATATCTATAATTTTCCCTTAATTATACACACTGCTTAGTCAAATTCCACAAAATTATCTCAGAAATTTGTTTGACCTCATATGCTATTGTTATTCTCAACATCAAAAGACGAACCTTTCAAAAATAAAAAATTGGTTTTTAAATTCTTGATGACTTTTATCTAAAGTGAAGAACCAATCTTTTCTCTCTTGTAAGGAGACACATTTTCTAAGGTTTTCTCAAATTTGATCTGTTAGCTTGGTCTTTTTTTTAAGATAGTGTCTGTGCGGAATTTGGAGTAAAACAATTCTCTACTAATAATTTTTTTAGGATTTGTTGGACCATGAAAGTATGCTGACCCTACACATTATGTGGGGTTTCTAGCCGACCCTAGATAGTTGAGATAAGGTTTAGATTATGATGATAAAGTTAGGATGTCTAAAAACAATGAAGGAGACTACTTACCGAATAAATAATAGTGATGAGCTCCATGTGGCCTTTCAAAGCCCAATAAGAAGGCTTTCTATCAACTGATAATGTCAGTATAGCTGATAGAATCGCACCAAACAAGGACATGAACGCATTGGTAGTGTATTTAAGCGGGTATCTTGTGTCAATCTTTGCCTCTATGATGTACCTTGCCAACCAGCATATGCAGCCACCGACAAGAGCCATGGAGCCTAGGGTCCTGTTCTCTGACTGCACCATGCTGAGCTGGTAGTTGTGGTATTGTAGCCCCATGTTCCCATGCCACAAGGTAAAGATCCGGCCTCTATAGAGCATGAATAGCGTCGCACCAGCCACGCACACATGCGTGCCCACGGCCTTTGCAATATCCACTTTGCTTTTCAGGTTAATACTTTCTAACCTACAAAAACATAGGACAAGCTCCTAAGTGATTTTGGGGACTGCATAAAGAAATTAGAGGTGTTGTGAACTCTAGATATGATCCAATATTTTTATTCTTCCTGCAACAAAACAAATAAGAAAAGTGTATAATGAGATCATTTATCTTTAGTACAACGTGGTCACAATTAATTTTGACTATTTGATGTGAAATTAGATGGCTGCATTTATTCCATCACCAAACTCAAACTTCAAAAAAAATTTTCTTGAACTTTGTCATACATCTAAGCTATCACATTTCACATCGGATGTTTTGTAAGTAATTGTGACCTTGTATCAAAAGTAAATGGTCACATTGTATACATTCCCGAACAAATAATGTTGTTGACAATGACATGGAATATTTGTTTTTCCATAGAATTCCCACTTTTGTATGTGCATTAATATAAACATGTTAATATTTCATGTATACATCCAAAATTTAGGCTCAATATGATGTATAAAAATAATACTAAAAAATAATCGAAATACTTATACATACTCTAAACTGATCGATTAAGATCTGACAACTGAGATAAGAAACATTGTTATTTGTTCTATTCAAGAGGTGTTATCCCTCTGCCTTTCATTCAGATCAGACTTCACCTCTAGATTCACCTACCTATAAAAATATCTAAAAATAGAGAAAATGCTTATATTTCCCTAAAGTTATGTTTTTATGAAAATCCCACCCACCCCAACACCTGGGGAGGGGGGAAAATTACATTCAATACCCTTTATTCTTTTTTATTATATTTTCCCTAAATGGCCCTACAGTAACTTCAGATCTTGAAGCTCCAAAGTCAAGAGTCAAAATATTGATGGAAAGAATTTAAAAAATGTCAACTTGACAAATGACTATGGACCTTAAAGTTTCAAAACATTTCAACAAAACTTGGTTTTGGACCACGAAGTTCCATAGTCACAAACGGGAGTATAAAATGCCAATTATTCCCTTGAGTAAAACCTAATATAGAAGTAATTTTTGGATTGTAAATTTTGGGGTATGATTTCACCCATTGACATACCTCAGTAGCAAACATTTCCAACTTGAACTCTCCATGTACTAGAAACACATAAACATATAATATCTCAAGATTGAATAAAGACCTTCCAATTTTTGAAGGACAAGATCTAAGTGTCAAAAAACTCAAAATTCAAAAGTTTTATTTTGTAAATAATCATCTAGTGATTCTTAAGTGGCTACTAAAATTTTGATTAAAAAAATCCACCCAAGTTGGTTTTTTTATTTATTGACGGAGTAGATGTATAATATGCTCCTACTAAAGTATAGTGCATGTGCTCGAAAAATATTGTTCAGAACTGCGATCTAAAGTTATTATCAACTTGTACCTTGAATGTCTAAAGAGAGGGTTCTTTGAAAAAAATTAAGTGAGGAAAAAAAAAAGCGGGCATGAGGGTAAATTAATTAAAAAATAATTGGACAAAAATAAGATAACTAAAAGTGTGCGGTGGTACAGAGTGAGGCTCTAAACAATCAAATTAAAGCTCACCTTCAATTAGTGTCTAGAAATATGGTTTCAATATTGGAAAGAGCCTTAAATTATATTTTCATGTTTAGTTATGTTGGGTTTGGTGATAGCTAAATCATCATACCCATATATTTTTCTAAAGATTAGGGTATTATGGGAAATAAAAATTGGAGTTTCTTGGGAAGCAAGAAAGTGATATCTTTATAAGAGAGTGAAGGAGGACATAATATCTATCCCTTGAGGGTCACTCCTTTGGGGGTTATGGGAATGGATCTCTAATATGGAGATGGGTCTCCAAGAGAGAGAGACATGACCTCTGAGAGATGGGTGGTATTCGCATAAGATTTGAGTTGGTTAACTTCCACTTCTAGAGAGAGAAAATCTCTATATTGCTCTCGAGGTTAAAGGATGTTGATCGACGGTGTTACTCGGTTGGGAGAGCGAGTTTAGAAGGGAAGATCGGTGATGGTCTTTTATCAATATTTAGAGATAGTTATTATCTCTTGTAACCTAAAACTGTAATATTCATTGTAATAGTAGATTTCTCGTTGCCGAGGCTGTGGATGTAGCCTTACGGGGTGAACCATGTAAATCGTGTGTCGTTGTGGTGTGCTTTTTATATTTGCTTTATTGTTCACACTTGATTTATAGTTGTATTCATCTATTTTGCATTTAGTCAATCATGTACACGATCTTGGGTGGATTTCCGGTGTCGGGATTCCCAGTTCTGCAAGCTAAGGGGTTCCCGTGAGATCCCTACAATTGGTATTAGCAGACAAGGTGTGTATGGAGCTAAGGATTTTATTAAGAAAAAGATGAATGACGAACGTTTATGGATACATGGTTTGAGGCGGAGAAATATGAAAGTAAAGTGTTTGTGAAAATTTCACAATGGAGGCACGTGAAAAGAAATCAAGAAATATCCATGGTTTGAAGTGGACAAATATGAAGGCAAAGTGTTTGAGAAAATTTCAAATGGAGGCAAATATGAAGAAATCAAGAAATATATTCAATGAAGGTTGTTAAGATAATTACGCTGATTTTGCTATTAAGGTGGAGATTGTTGGGTTTGGTGATAACTAAATCACCATACCCATATTTTCTTCTAAAAATTAGGGTGTTATAGGAAATAGAAATTTGAGTCTCTTGAGAAGAAAGAGAGTGAATAAAGGAGGACATAATACCCATCTTTTGAGGGTCACCGCTTTAGGGGTTATGGGAATGAATCTTCAATATGGAGATGGGTCTCCAAGAGAGAGAGGCATAACCTCTGAGACAGGGACGATATTCCCATGAGTTTTCGGTTGGTTAACTTCTACTTCTAGAGAGAGAAAATCTCTATATTGCTCTCAAGGTTAGAGGATGTTGATTGACGGTGTTGGTCGATCGAGAGAGCGAGTTTAGAAGGGAAGATCAGTTATGGTCTTTACCGATGTTTAGAGATAGGTATTATCTTTTGTAACGTAAAACTGTAATTTTCATTGTGATAGTGGATTTCTAATTGCCGAGAGTGTGGATGTAGCCTTACGGGGTGAACCACGTAAATCTTGTGTTGTTATGGTGTGCTTTTTATGTTTTCTTTATTTCTTGTACTCAATTTATAGCTGTCTTCATCTACAGCGCATTTAGTCAATCATGTATATGATCTATGGTGGGATCCTGGTGTGTGGGATTCCCGGTTCCTCAAACTAAGGGGTTCCCATGAGATCCCTACAATTGGTATCAGCGCACAAGGTGTGTACAGAGCTTAGGTTTATATTAAGAAAAAGATGAATGACAAAGTTTTATGAATACATGGTTTCAGGTGGAGAAATATGAAAGCAAAGTGTTTGTGAAAATTTCACAATGGAGGCAAGTGATAAGAAATCAAGAAATATTCCTGGTTTGAGGTGGATAAATATAAAGGCAAAGTGTTTGTGAAAATTCAACTATGGAGGCAAGTATGAAGAAATCAAGAAATCTATTCAATGAAGGTTGTCAAGACAATAATGATGATTTTGCTATCAAGATGGAGATTGTTGGGTTTGGTCATAGCTAAATCACCATACCTATATTTTCTTCTAAAAATTAGGGTACTATGGGAAATAAAAATTTGAGTCTCTTGAGAAGCAAGAAAGTGATATCTTTATAAGAGAGTCAAGGAGGGCATAATACCCATCCTTTGAGGTTCACCCTTTTGGGGGTTATGGGAATGGATCTCCAATATGGAGATGGGTCTCCAAGAGAGAGAGACATGACTTCTGAGAGATGGGTGGTATTCCCATAAGTTTTGGGTTGGTTAACTTCCACTTCTAGATAGAGAAAATCTGTATATTGCTCTCGAGGTTAGAGGATATTGATCGACGGTGTTGCTCGGTCGGGAGAGCGTTTAGAAGGGAAGATCAGTGATGGTCTTTTACCGATGTTTAGAGATAGATATTATTTTTTGTAACCCAAAACTATAATCTACATTGTGATAGTGGATTTCTAGTTGATGCGGCCGTGGATATAGCCTTACAGGGTGAACCACGTAAATCGTGTTTTGTTGTGATGTGCTTTTTATATTTGCTTTATTGCTCACACTAGATTTATAGTTGTATTCATCTACTTCACATCAATCATGTACACGAGCTTGGGTGGGATCCCGGTGTTTGGGATTCCCTGTTCCGCAAGCTAATGGGTTCCCGTGAGATCCTTACTATTGGTATCAGCGCACAAGGTGTGTACAGAGCTAAGGTTTATATTAAGAAAAAGATGAATGACGAAGTTTTATGGATACATGGTTTGAGGTGGAGAAATATGAAAGCAAATTGTTTGTGAAAATTTCATAATGGAGGCAAGTGAGAAGAAATCAAGAAATATCCATAGTTTGAGGTGGATAAATATGAAGGGAAAATGTTTGTGAAAAGTCCATAATAGAGGCAAGTATGAAGAAATCAAGAAATCTATTCAATGAAAGTTGTCAAGACAATTATGATGATTTTGTTATCAAGGGGGAGATTGTTGGGTTTGGTAAAAGTTAAATCACCATACCCATATTTTCTTCTAAAAATTAGGGTATTATGGGAAATAGAAATTTGAGTCTCTTGGAAAACAAGAATGTAATATATTTATAAGAGAGTGAAAGATGACATAATACCCATCCTTTGAGGATCACCCCTTTGGGAGTTATGAGAATGGATCTTCAATATGGAGATGGGTCTCCAAGAGAGAGACATGACCTCTGAGAGAGGAGCGGTATTCCCATGAGTTTTGGGTTGGTTAACTTCCACTTTTAGAGATAGAAAATCTCTATGTTGCTCTTGAGGTTAGAGGATGTTGATCGAGCTAAGGGGTTCCCGAGAGATCCCTACAAATTATAAAATTTGAAGCTTCAAAAATAGTGTAGATCAAGTAAATTTATGAAAGCTTGAAAATCTTGAAAATTGACGGTCAAAAAAATACATTACAAGATGCTCTATTTCCAAAACTTGAAATCCATTTTTTCTTATGTCCATGCATCTTGATATCG